AATCTCTTCTATACGCTTTGTAACATACAAAATTTCCACCATGTCTGTCATGTTACGATATTTCTTGAGCAATACCTGTTTGAAACGAGCCAATAAAATTTATCATTCAAAGCTTATCTTTTATTCTTGGAATTTATAATACACAAGACATCATTTTTTATGAAAATACTAATGAAATTTAAAAAAATAAATTATTTCATATAGATCAAACCTATATCGTAACATGTGCGGATGCACGTAACCCTGACAGACTCGTTTTAAAAACTGCAAGAAAACAACTACAAAATTGTATTGTTTAAGTTATAAAGACAAATTTTGCCTTGTGATACACTAATATTCTTAAATAAAAATACTTTTTGGTTTAATTCACTGAACGTATAAATCTGAATGCACCCGTTTGATTCACGTAACATGAACAGACATTCGTTTTGTCCGTCACCGTTACGATAGTATTCAGGCAATGTCTGTCAATCGGTACGTTATGTAAGAAATGTCAAATTTTAAGTGTTTATGTAGTGATGAAGAGCGTGCAAGTTCATATTTTTTAAAGAAAAAATCCAAAATACACCTACTAGCTGACAATATTTGATGATATGTGTTTAAAATCTAGGATAAAGACAACTTATATTTTCATGAACGTAACATATTGTAGTAACTACAACATACAATGTCTTCCGAAGGGATAGGGCTGACTCACATGGTGGAATCATCATTGCTGTCAAGAATGACTTGGTGTGTACGCCAATCTACACCAGTAAAGACCATGAGCTCCTCTGTGTTAGACTTCATGTGAACAAGAAAAAGTCAATCATCATAGGAGCCTACTACCGCCCACCCAACATCACTTGCGAAAATAATGCACGCCTGGCTGTAGCAGAGATGAGCAAGGTTCGCTCGGATAATCCTAAGTGTGACTTTTGGATAGCGGGAGATTTTAACCTTCCAGACATTAACTGGCCTACCCAATCAATCATCTCCCATCAATACCCAAGTAAGATGTCGACAGAGTATTTGAACATCCCTGGTGATTGTGGAGTGGAGCAGCTTGTATGCACACCAACACGGGGAGACAAAATCCTAGACTTGTTCTTTACGAGCAACCCATCACTTGTGCAACGATGCAAAGTCATCCCAGGGGTAGGCGACCACGACGCAGTCTTAATTGACTCCTTAATCCAACCGCTAAGAAGTAAACCGGCCCGTCGAGAAATATACTCATGGGATAAGGCAGATATGACATCTTTGCGAAGAGACATCAACAACTTTGTACAAGACTTTATCACCAGACCTTTCACTTCTGTTGACACTCTCTGGGAACTCTTTAGAGACTCCACACTTAGCATCATGAACCGACATGTTCCTCATAAGCTCACACGATCCAGGACATCAAACCCTTGGATCAATACAGCTAGCAGACGTTTATCACGCAGGAAACTACGTGCATTCCACAAAGCCAAGGCAACAAAGAAGCAGTGTGACCAGCAAAGGTACCTGTCTCTTAAATCAGAATGCCAGCGCACTATTCGTCTTGCCTATCAACAATACATGAATGACATTATCACCCCCAGTGCCTCAGAAAATCCCAAGAAATTCTGGTCATTTATTAAGAGCAAAAAACAAGAAGCCTCTGGTGTAGCACCATTACGGAATACGGACGGGCTCATAACCAGCGACCCACAAGCCAAGGCGAATATATTAAACGAACAGTTTAAATCCGTATTTACAACGGAGGACACTAGCCGAGCTCCAGACAAGGGTCCCAGCCCATTCCTAACAATGGACAGCATAATCATCAATCCACGTGGTGTGTACAAGCTATTAAGTAACTTACAACCACACAAGGCTACAGGACCAGATGCCATTTCAGCACGTTTTCTGAAGGAATTGGCAGAGGAGATTACACCTGCATTGACCTTTCTATTCCAAACGTCTTTGAATTGTGGATGTGTACCAGATGACTGGAAGATGGCCCATGTAGTCCCCATCTTTAAGAAAGGTGACAAGAGTGCAGCGGCAAATTATCGTCCTGTATCACTTACAGCAATTTGCTCCAAGATCCTGGAACACATTCTCCATTCTAACATCATGGACCACTTTGAAAGGAACTCTATCCTTACACCAGCACAGCACGGATTTCGTAGTAAGCGATCATGTGAGACTCAACTTATTGCCACAGTACAAGATCTTGCTAGTAGCCTATCGAATGGAAACCAGATTGACGTCATCTTACTGGATTTCGCCAAAGCATTCGATAAGGTACCACACCAACGTCTCCTCCACAAACTGAATTATTATGGGATTCGTGGCTGCACTCTACAATGGATAGAAAGTTTCTTATCAGACAGAAAACAGCGAGTATTGGTTGAAGGGATGTCCTCCAACATAGCAGACGTGAACTCCGGAGTACCTCAAGGCACAGTAATGGGTCCCCTATTATTTCTTGCCTACATCAATGACCTCCCGGAGGTGGTAACATCAAATGTTAAATTATTTGCAGACGACTGCCTCATTTACAGGACAATTCAATCAATCAATGACACAGTCCAACTCCAACAGGACTTATGTGCACTTGAGAAATGGGAAAAGGACTGGCAGATGACCTTTCACCCTCAGAAGTGTACCATTATTCACATATCTAAGAAACGCCATCCAATTAAAGAATCATACCAACTGCATAACCATACCCTGGAAGATGTCCCAAGTGGTAAATACCTTGGTATCACAATTAGCAAAGATCTTTCATGGCGCGAGCATATTAACTCAACTTCTGCCAAGGCCACGAGAACAATTGGATTTTTAAGAAGGAACCTCAGAAGTTGCCCACAGGCTATCAGAAGCAAGGCATACACTACGCTAGTACGTCCAGTATTGGAGTACGCGTCAGTGGTTTGGGATCCTTTCCAACATCATTTAATCCAACATCTAGAAGATGCTCAGCGCCGGGCAGCAAGGTTCGCCACAGGTGATTACTCATCAAGGGACCCAGGAAGTGTGACCACCATGCTATACCAACTCGGCTGGGAACCACTTGAACATCGGAGGGCCCGGAACCGAGTGATCATGTTCTACAAGATCTACCATCACATTGTGGAAGTTCCGGTACATCATGTGCTACATGTCACCAATAGCAGAACCCGTGGTTCTATGGCAAACAAAATCCGCCAAATCAGCACCAGGGTTGATGTCTACAAATACTCATTCATACCAGCAACTATCATAGCATGGAACAATATACCAGCCACAATTAGGAATTCACCATCAGTGGACACCTTCAGACATGCAATACAGTCCATCAGCGTGTCTGATATTCTACACCACTAAATTGTCCACTTTTAACTTTTTATCCCTTTTAATACGGTGTACATAGATTTTTAGCTGTTCACTACGGAATTACTGGAGTTTTAACACTCAAATTGAGTTTACTCCATCAAGGGAAGAAGAAGAAGATACTTTGTGTAACGTAACACTTGACATTCGTGGCTTCTCGGGCTCTCTCTGTAGCTCTTCTTATCGAAATGTAAACACATTTGCATAGAACACTGGAGAAAATTTTAATATTCATAACCTTTAAGTCAAATGTATAAGAAGAAGCATCTCCAAGCTCCATTCTTAAAATAGAACGTAACGCCCACTTGCCATGACAGACACCGGAAGCATCCCATATATTTGTTAATTTCTAAGCACACGTGCTTTTCTGTTGAATCTGCGATCACTAAACTGATAAACAGGTAAATTTTCTATCAGTAGACAAGAAAGATAAAATAGTTTGCATAAACAATGGCCCATTTTATAACAATGTACCCGGTGTATCGAGTCTGACAGACGTTACGTTCAAAATATGAGAAGAAATAAATTCCAATTTTTCTTTCATTTTAGACATAATGTGCATTAAAATACTTTTGTATGTTAATTTTATCCTTCCTAAACAGTAGTGAATGAAGATATTCTGTGTACAAGGTATTATCACCGTATATTTGACTTTTATTTTGACATGGTTGAAAATGTCCCCCTACACATGCGTAATTCTAGTGGAATTATCAAATTCATTTCAAGAAAAAAAAGAGTAAGTTGATGAAAAAGTCTGCTTATTTTATCTTTTTTATATATTTGCAATATACTTTTCAGTATAAAACATTTCTTATTTCAATTTTTTAAATAATTTATTTTATATTCCTCTTGTTAAAATCATAGGTCAAGATGTACTCAAGAGCGAATTTAGAGCCATATGTGTCACATCCAGTGTCTTTTTTTTAGTTCAATATTACCCCGCAGTTTGCATTTTACCTATTACATGTATATACATATCTTCTGGATAATCAAAAGCGCTAAATCAACATTTTATTCAATTGAACAGAGGGACTAATGAGCCTTAAATGCGTTTGAAAATTTGTTGTTTGTTTTTGTAATACATTGTATCCTGCTAAAGTCTAAAATTTATATAAACTTACTTCCATCTCCAAGCAATGAGCACCAGACCATACATGTAGGTGTTACATGTACATCTCTAAGGCCATTCCAAGTTTTTTTTTTCTCTGTTTAGCGTCCAGTTTCCTTTAAATTTCACTTACATTCGTTTCATTTAAATACCCACCTACACACACTCCAATCCCCCCCCCCCCCAAAAAAAAAAAAAAAAAAAAAAAAAACAACAACAAAAACCATGCAAACCAAAAATTAAGCAAAATAATTAAACACATACTTTATAGTCATAGATTTGATTTTATAATTCTAGTTTTCTCATAAAAATATATATTCCTTTGCAAAATCAACGTATTCACTGCTTAGTATATTGCTTGGTATAAAGACATAGGTCATACTTCAATAATTGAGATTTTTTTCTTTTTGAGAATTAAAATTTTTACGGGGAATATGCATTTATTTTTTTAGAAATGCAATGCCGGTTTATGGAAAAAATACATTTTAAGATCATTTACTACCCCATGTGTTATTAAGATATAGCTGTAGGGATACCAATTTAAAGATAACAATAATAAGAAACAGCGATTGAACAAATTTGCACTAAAATGAATTCACATAACTGAAGTTAAAGAGCTATATAATTTTTTTTTAAGAATAATGAGCGAAATGTTTTGCTGCTTTTTTAGACAAGATAACAAACAGTTCAGTACCATACAATACTGAAGGCACTGGGCATCCATAAGGAGGCTAGCACTGCTTCACGAACGTCAAAAGTCGGTCGACAACTATCCCACAAATCAAAGTCTGAACATTTAGACAATGATTTTACTCCATAACTTTCCACCTTGCATCCTTGCTCTTCATCATATCAACTCTGCAGCATTGCTCTTTCAAAAATTTAACCCGATTTCTTTAGCATAAACAATTATTTCTTCGTATCTTTGAAATCTTTCCTATTTCGCATTTTCATCCTTTCCCGTTCCCGCTCGCGCTCCCGTGCATGCATCATCATCACTCGGTACATTCGCTCTCTTTCATATGGATCTTCCTCCCGCTCTTTTGGGAATTCGAGTTCTATCCCTTCTTCGATCAAATTTTTGACTATTTCTATGTGGCCATTTAGAGCTGCTGATGTTATTGCAAAGTCGCCCTCTTTTGTGGTATTTTCTGGAGTGGCCTTTTTATCCAACAGAAAATCGACCAGATGCCAATATCCATTTTCTGCTGCAATATGCAGAGGGGTTTTCTTGTCTTCTGCTTGGCAATTGACATCTGCATTTTTATCTAGCAACATGCTTATGATTCTTTGCTGATTGAAAAGTACTGCAAAATGGAGAGCAGTCCATCCACCAAGGCCTTTTGCATTGACAGGTATATCTCTTTCTAGTAGAGTCTTAACCAGTTCAAGATTTCCAAATGCACACGCAGTATGTAAGGCTGGCCAGTTATCTTGACATCCCTCAGGCTTTTGCTTTGTCATTGCATTCGTAATGGTCCTGACAATTCCTTCTATCCCAACACCAGTTGCTGCAGCTAGCATTGACCTGCCATCATCCATTTTGTAATTGTCTTTGATGTCACTTCCGCTCCAGTGGAGCTGACGTGTTGCACTTTCTCCCCCACATCTTATGGCTTCGTGAATTGGCAGGCTTCCAGTAGCACTCTTTATGGAATTTATATCTGGTTTTGACTTCAAAAGGGCTCTTAGTGCTCCATCATCTGGATTTCTGGCAGCTCTGTGGTAAACTGTAAATCCATCTTCTGTCTTCTCATTGACGTTTGCACCATTCTCTATCAAACTTTGCATGGTATCATGTGATCCATACACTGCTGCAACATGAAGCAGTGGGGCTTTGAGCTTCCTAACCAAATCAAATATCTCCTGCCCATATAGAACAAGAAAGTCTTCATCTGGTAATGGGTCAGTGGCAGTCATTGAAGCTCCTTCTTCTATCAGCATTTTCACAATTCTTCCGTAATTCATGCCATTCCCGTAACAGGCTGCAAACAGAGATATATAGAGCTCTTCCTTGAACCACTCCTGTTGTTTGATGTCTTTAAAATCATCATGTTTTATTAAATGCTTGATGGTTTGGTCTTGTCCATAGTAGCAGACCCAAAAGAAGAATGAACGATTATATTCTCCCCTTTGTTGGAGGACAGGTTGCAGACTTCCCATTTCCCCCATAAATTTGACAAAGGCTTCTCCAAATCGCACATCACATAGACTTGGATGTGACGCTATAAGTCTAACATTGCCTCTTAAAATTTCATATACAAGCCTTTGACTCAGTGCACTATAGTCTTTATTCCAAACACTTAAATTAGATTCCATAGTTATTGTGAAGTAACTTGATGTTCTGATGCGTTCATTCAAAAAATCTAAACTACAGATTTCCAGAATTTTTTGAGGAATTTTTCTAAATACGGAATCAGTAACAAAGAAAAACATTCTTTCATGGCAGAATTTCCAATGATGCAACTGAACTGGTTCAAGAAACACACCTGATAGAAGAGTACAAGCGTACCTCATCTTTTCCAAACTCACATCATCCGGTACACTTAAAGCCATTCTAAGTTGCCTAAAAATGTTTTGTTGAAATTCTGTATAATCTTCAAACCTCTCTTTGTCAAGTTCAATATTTCCATCCAACAACCCCACACATGCCAATGTGTAGTAAATGATTTTATCAAAACTATATACCTTCTGAAGCACAGTTTCCACCGATTTTTCAGGGTTTTTGAAGTACTGCTGACCTTCCATGTGAAAACTCTTAACACCTGCATAGAGACGGCTATGATAGGCATACGAGTTGTTATTAGCTTTCTCAATCTCATCCTGTTCTCTGTAAGATAAACCATGTTTTCCTCCACAGCAACCTTCTAGAATCTTCATCCTGTCATAATTACCAGGCTTGTACTTGTCTAATGTGAGATCAATTACATGTTGTGTTTGAAAAAGAGGACTTAATGTTACTCTTGGGTGAATTTTCTCCAGTTGATGCTTTTGAAAAGTGATGATAACTAAAGTATTAGGTCTATTTTGGACAGCAGTTTCGAGAATTTCATCGAGATGATTTATCCACTCTTCCACCTTTGAAACAGTGTATGTGGCAGGACCAAAAATCTTATCCATCAGTACGCACTGTTTTTTGTTAGGATTCACTTTGCGTCGCCATTCTTCATAAGAGTTGACAGTCACAACGGTGTATTGTTCCCTGTCTTCCTCATCTAATGCTATTCTTTCCCACTCATTCCTATGTCTCAATTCTGGTCTTGGAACGAGTCTCTCAGGTTTCTTGACAAACTTTATGAGAAGATGCTCAGCTAGGGCTCTCTTTCCATCACCAGGGAAACCTGTGATGGTGACCCAACCTCGATTCCATAAAGTCCTTCTGGCTGAGTAGTATGCACTGTACTCCACGAAGAAATCTTCTGAGTTTATTGGAGTAACATTGAAAAAATCATGCCATACTGCAAACAAAAAGTATAAATTTTGAACATAAAGGAATATTTTTTTGTCATAAAATTGTGAATTTTGTCACTAATTTATAACAACATCAACAAAATGCTGATAATTTAAGATATTAAATATATATACATACATAAATACATACATGTATATAAATATATATACATAGAATTATTAAGTCAAAAATTTTTCTTCTTGGGACCATGGTGTCCTGAAAATAATTTATCACTTCGTATGACCAAGAATATACATTTAACTTCTAGATATATCTTGATCATTAGAATTACATCAAAGACATAATAAATTTTGTACTAAATTAAAAATTTTAAAAACTTAACAGAACTTAGTGCTTTCTAAATAAGGCCAAACAAAAAAAAATATGTGTGGTTCCAGTTACACCTCCAAAAAAATTAGGGTAGGTAGGTAGGGTCTTTTTTTTTTTTTTTTTTTAAACAAAATGATTTTCTTAATTTTTCTAAATAATACCTATCACTCCTTTGCAAGTGGCATTTAGATGTGGTGTGATAATATACTAGTCAATATTGGTAGGGGACACCTACATGCTAGCTTGCTTTGGATTTAATACTATTAAACACTTACACTATGTTCTGCAAGGAGGCCGTCATTGCTGAAACTAAAACTTAAACCGGAGCCATTGATAGAAATCTGGGAAAATTCTTGAAAAAATATGAAAATTGCCAAAAAAAGTTTAGGGTCGGGGGTATAAAATAGGGATGGTCGGATAACTGGAGCCACACATATTTTTTTTTATTTGGCCTAATGAAATTTGTACTAATTTCATGATCATAAAATAACCATCCATGGCATAAACTTACAATTTAACTGTTCCTCACTCAGATAATTGGTGGTCTCAAGCACTATTGGTGGCCGATGAAGAGGAACAAACTCTTGCCCACTCTGTCTTGTTTGGGGAGTATTTGGTTCATTTGTCAAAATTACATCATCGTCCAGTCCGGTAGGTAATTGCTGGGGTTGAAGCATTTGGGCACCATGTTGCACAACATTGCTTAATGTCTGAAAAGTTTGGGATAAAAATCCTTGCCCTGTGAACCCTGAAGCAGTGTCTGACTGGGGAGTCACATTAGGTTGCACAACTGTGCAGTATGCTGGGGTTGCTGAGGTGCCTGCTGGTGTTGCTATTGTTGAAGGAATTGAGGAAAATGTTTCCATATTGTCCTCATATTCCTCCACATCATCAAAATCCTCATCATCTGAATTTGGAATTAGTGTTATTAATTATGATATTTATTAAATAAAGTTGACTACAGGTCATGAGTCTTAATATATGTAATAAATACCTTGTATGTTGATACCTTATATACATAAAATATGCATATTATAGGCCTAAGGTACCATACATATTTACTATAATACAGTATACCCATGTATAGTGTTCCCAGAAATTATTAAGGTCTTCCGCTCCAGGCGGAAGACCTTCTACTGATTCTGATGGTTAAGATTATTAAGGTCTTCCGTTTCCAACGGAAGACCTTCTACTGATTGTGATGATTAAGATTATTCTTATTATTCTTTTTTTTTTTTTTTCCTAGACGCCAACTTTGACGCTTCATATCTTCCTCATTTTTAAACAGATTTTGTTCAAATTTTCAGAGCTTTTAGACTTTACAAAACACTGTCAGAATACCGTAATACAATTCGGAAATTACCTTCTGTTCACGAGTTATTCCCCTTTGATTGAATTTAGCATGCCTCCGATTTCCAGACAAAGGCTCAGAAATGGTTATAATTGGAGCACAAAACGCTTTGAAATTGAAAAGAGGAAGCATTGAAGTTGTGCACATCGGTTTTTGTTTTTTGATTTTTGCTTTAAAAATGGCGCTAGAGAGGGGTCAAAAGTTAGAACGCGGAAAACAGCAAAAAATTTGACATATTTTCCTTTATATCTTGAAAACTAGAAATATTTTGTTAAGACATGTAGAACAAAAGTTGTGCATAATTGCAAGGGCTTTCATATCATACTATTTAAAAGGGGCTGGCCCCTATGATTAGGGATCTTGGGCCCTTAAAAGTTTTTGCTTTATAACTCAAAAACGGTAAATATTTCGATCTGGATCTTGGGAACAAAATTGTTCTTTTACACCTTTTTGATCTAATGAAAATGTTGTTTTGTTCGAGTATACCATGGGTATTGCGTAATACGTATTAGAAAGCAGGCCAGGTAAACAGGTAACGTTTTTCATTCGGCAAGGAAATCAGACCTCTTCATGTGTATAACTTAAACAGACTTGCTATCAATAATATACCCTGCGGTATTTAATGTTAATTTTCTTTTTAATAAGGTTTAAAACGTGGTTTATGGTTCACTATTAAATTATTTATTACAACTAGTCTTTCTTTTCTTCTTTTTTAAATTAGATTAATAGTGTTCAAAAGCGGAGAATATTAAATCTATCTTTCTACGTTTATTATTACAACAAACTTTGTAAGTGATTTTAAACTGTATGCATTGAATAATTCACGATCATTAGCTGTATGCATATTACGGTCTCCATGTTCAGCTCGATGTTTAGTTATGTAACCCAACGCGCGAATCCCACGCTGTTGATCGAGGTCACCAGTGTACTAGCCACCTGTGGCCATAAACAAAGCTAGTATTTGTGATCGCGTATAATGTCAATTTTGTACAAAGAGCTATTAATTAATGGAAAGGTATGTTTTTAATTATATCGAATCAGTAAGATTACTTTACCGATCTTTTATAATCTTAATTCCAAACACTGGTGCAAAAAATCATTTTGAATTTTAATCGCTGTTTTTGTCTGTTCACACATAATACATTTTAAAAAAAAAGTTGCTCTATCCCGTGTTGTTGTATTTTAATTCATCTGCAATTGTAATTGAATGGGGGCTTCGGTAAATAATTGTAATTACTACGCATGCTACGCACATATTATTTTTACCATCACTCTTGTGAATGTCCATTTATTATTTATAGAATTAAATAAACATTAACATAAATAAAAATTCCTTCAAATGTACTATAATTCAAGTCTTTGTAAGATAGCAAACAGTTTCATCCATCTCTGCCGCTTTGTGTCTTAAGTGTTGTAGTCCAGTCCTCGTTTACATACACGGTGCCACAGAGAGCCGCGGGCACCTCGATGTTGAAATACATTGTGTACTCTGATAGTTGCTCTACACCGCACAAACAACTAACGTGTACATGCAGTGTAGTAATTGGCAAAGATTGTTTGAAAAATATAAACTCGCATGTGTTCGCTATGAAGCATTCAGTTTAAAATTTTATTTACATGTAGATACCTTATAAGAACAAAATAAAGTAAATGTATAACACCTAGAACGATGTTTAAAAATTAAAATACAAATATCGTGTGCTCGGAAGGGAAGATGGCTTGAAAGGGTGTGTCTGTGAATGCTTGGATCTAGCAACACACTTCGCAAAAGTAAGCATACTTGTGTCCAAATTCTTTAAAAGTGGGGGCAATCCCCAATCCTCGCACCCTTCCTCTTTGAATCTAAAAATATATACCATACTGAGAGTTGTATATAGAGCGGGAATGTTATTTTATTAGTCCTTAAAGGCACAACTTAAGAAATGACTTATAAATTTTTTTTTAGCTAAGATTGTTTCGCGATACAGCTGTGATAAATCTTAGGAACTTCTAAAGTTATAACTTAGGCATATCTTAAGATAACTTAGGATTCCGAAACGTTTTTGAAACAGGCATGTCAAGCATTCAGTCAGATCTATTACGACGTCCATATTACCATATAAGAGAATGAAATTTTGTTTTGTATATAAAGTGGTTATTACAAATATGCGTGTTACAAAAATGTATGTTGAAATCTTCAAAAGCTATCGAATTATTTGCATACGTGTACTCGTACATATGAACATTGATCAACACTGATCAAGTGTATACCGGGACCCGGGATAGTCTTATTGTAGCTCTTGCTTTGTCAAATCATTACTTTCATACCCCTTGCATTTAAGAAAAACAATGTTTTAAAAAAAATAATAATCTGACATATAACAAGTATACATGTAGCGTGTGCAATTTATTTGGCTAGGGGCATGTACACACGTGGTTCGAAACTGTAGGGGACTACAAATGCGGCCATAACTAGTATATTTTTGAGGTGTTATAAAAAACAAATAATACTCACAAAAGCTTATAAAATTGCCGTTCTATCGATACCTTATATGCCATGTTTCATCCACCAACAACGCCACGACATCGATGAGAAATACGTTTCTACACGGGCATTTTCTTCGAAAAGGATAGGAAGTTAATGAATTAAAATAATTAATTCTTTTAGTTAACGCATTATGTTTACCTCTTTATTTGTTGTATGCAATAAGTATAGACCTTACTAATAATGACTGTTTGGTTGTCACACCTGTGCATGTGTCGTGTGAGGTACAGCGGTAAGGTAAATTACCGAGAGTCGCGATGTGCGGGGTGATTCGGAATACCCTAAATGACTGTGGTCCATTGAATTTCTACTAGTAAATCAACCTGTCAAATCTAACATGGGCCCACATAATACGACTAAATTCGTTTCATGAATGAACTGGTTCTTAACAAATATATGTACAGTATACACTATCTTTTCTTTAGATCTGTTTGTTTATTATTTTCAACCACAATCTGCAGTACATGTATAGTTACACGAAATCCATGCACAACGGCGCTACACCTGTCAATCAAAATCACTCGATATTGTGAACTCAGTCTGGTGTTACGGCAGCATTTCCGAAGTGATTCAAAATATTCTATCGGCTAATTCTAATTTTTCGCGTTGAATAATAATATTTTGGAACAAAGTTGGAATTAAGGCTGGAGCTGCATGCTGTGAATTTATCACACCTGCAGTCTGCAGTCTTCCCTTCTTACATGTATATGAAGCATCTGTTGAGTAATGAATCAGAGAGCATAATATGCGGAACAAGTTTGATTGAGATTTTTACTTTTCCTTTAAGATAAAATGATTAATAACATAATTTATGCATCTAATAGATACATATAAATGTACATGTATAGCTTTTTAAAAACAAGAATCTGTAATTGAAAATGTGAAAGTGAAGAGTTTAGGTAATAGTTCTTAGCCAAAATTTAATGACAGTTCATTCCTTCCTAGTTTCTATATAACTTTTAATTACGGCCGTGCCCTCTCCCCTTCAAAAGATGTCTAATACATGCTTTTAAATTCTGTTTATGTATCAAGAAATTTATACAGGTACTTGTGGACAGGATCCCCCCCCCCCCAAATTCAACCCCAATGTTTGTTGGACATTTTTTTCCACAAATTATATTTATTACACTTATTCATCATGTGTACCATAGGAAAAAATCGAGTACAAGTACCTGTGGAAATTTCTATTTGCCCCCCCCCCCCTTCCCAAGAAAACTGAAATTGTTTTCTACGGGCTTGACAACAGGTACTTGTGGACAGACCCCCCCCCCCCCCGATATTCAACCCCGGGGCTTGTTGGACATTTTTTCCACAAATTATATTTATTGCACTTACTCATCATGTGTACCATATGAAAAAATCGTGAAAACCCCAAAATAATCGTTCCACACAAAAAATGCCTCACTATGTATAGTTAAAACATTAATTTTTCATATTTCTTGATGAAATTAACATTAATAAAATCAACACAAAATTAATACCGAATTACATATCACTTGAATTTATCATAAAGCAGAAAATCTGTTCTGCGGGCTTCAAGGCCAGCTCAGGAACCTAAAGATGTCCTCATTTAATTTCCAAGTCCAGTACAGAACGTAAATTAAATGAAATAAATCACACGATCACTGGGAAGAACTCAAAGAAAGAAGACTCTTGAGGAAAAGATATTTTGATTCGACTTATAGACTGAAATAAACCGATATTCTCTTTTTGCCACTCTTTCCTGGAGCCCTGGGACTCTGAATGTAGGATCAGTATTTTTCTCACAGGTCCGTTGTACGGATTGTACGGGGGGGGGGGGGGCAGACCTTCTGAAAATAGTCTTTTGTTGTAGTTTTAATATGTAAATTTTGATTTAGTTGCTGCTTGCATCCTCCCCACTCTTTGTTTCTCTACGGTCATACATAGGCGAATCCCAGCAAAAATGTAATGACTCCCCCCCCCCCCTCCAACACACACTTTTTTTAAAATGTGTATTGCGATAGGACTTAAAATTGGAAAACATTTTCTGTATATCTCTACATCAAAAAAT